GAATAATTTCTGTGTTGATAATAAATACCGATAAAAGTGAGATCATACCACAGAAATTATAACGTAAGTAAAGAAAGTAAAGGTATTTTTTTTTTCTTTTCTTTTCTTTTCTAACGATAAGTAAAGTCTAAGAAAGTATTGAGAAATTTTAATAAATTTATTTTCCAAAATGATAACTGATAAATATCGAGAAGGATTTTTAATTTACAATTAAAATTTCGAGATATTATCATTGTACTTAAAATTTTTAATGATTCTTTGAATGCACAGGTGATAAAGAAATGTAAGAAAGGACGAGATTACGATATTCACTTTATCGTTATCTCATTGTTATCATCTAATTGAACGATATAAAATTGAGTTGAAATGATTCCTAATTTTAATGTTAAAAATTACGATAGAAATATGAAAATATTAATTTGAAGATAGATAAAATCCTTACCAAGTACTATCCACATGACGATTATATTTCCACCGGTTGCAATTAATAAAATGATCGCATATATCAACGACCATGTAAGCTTCTGCCACCAAGGTAGATCGAATGGTGGTTCTTGAATACCGAAGATACAATCAGAAAGTGCATCACGAAGAATATCTCTTTGCGTCGATCTTCCTAAAGCTTCTTCGGAGACGATTAAAAACTCGCTACGATTTAATTTTATTAACAAAGATATATTAAGTTCGAGAATCGACGCAGTGCAATTGTACACATGTAATTCATTAATGCTACTCATATTTTATCCGAGACTTTATCTCAAATAATTTTCTTCAATTATAATCGTGAGAAAAAATATCCTTTCTCTTTTTTAAATTTTAACGAATGTTATTTATTTAATCGTCAGTTTATCATTTAAAACCAATACGATTTTCATGAGAATCTTGTTAAAATCGAATTAATAAACGATGCGCAGACAAATATGGGTATATTTTCTTGATAATGAATATTTTCAATGTGAATTTAACGATTCAATGAGCTCGAACTGATTTCATTTCATTTTCTATTATATATATATATATATTAATAAAATCATAAGATTTATGCGAGCGGAATTAAAATAACCTGTTAACGAATAGAATAATTGGTAGTTTTAATCGATTCCAATTTCAAAATGTTATTACGTGTTCTCCCTTTCCTTTTTATTTTTTTTCTTTCTTTCTTTCTTTTTGTTTTGCTTTTTTTTTCGTTTTTCTTTTCTTCTCAAATTTATTATTTTGTACGTTTATTATTAATTGGACAGTCTTGTTAAGAGTATTGTCAAGCACGCTTAGCTATTGTACTAATAAGAAAATCTTTCTTGAAATTTGAGTTAAGGAAGATGCGCCCTTAAAAATTCCAAGTCTTCTTCTCCTGTAGTTTGTTTTCTTAAGAATCTTGCATTAAGATAACACAACTATAATATTGAATATCATTATCTCTTTTATATTCAGGATCAGTTTTCAATCTTAATATAAATCGTATCGTGCTTCCTTCTATATTATATCAATATTTTATTATTACGAAAATTAATGTTATTTCAACATTCGTTTGATAAATCTTCGATAAATGCGTCGATTACATTCTTCTTCTACGATCCTTGATGATTCGCGATTGAAGAATTTTTAAAGTTGATGAAGAACAAGCACATTTATTTTCACACGAGATTAACACTAATGTGGAATAAAGAGAAAGAGAGAGAGAGAGAGAGAGAGAGAGAGAGAGAGAGAGAGAGAGAGAGAGAGAGAGAGGGAGAGAAGAAAAAAAGAAGAACTATTCTCATTAATTTAAAGCACACTTAAACCCGAAGGCTTAAACGTTATGATAATTTGACAGAAGGATCGTATCACTTTTACTTTTGACATTTGAATTTTGATCTGAAACATTCGAAACATTTATTAAAATACACGCGCGAATCCTTGTATCGCGTGTCCTTTCTTTATCGAGAAATCGCAACCACCGAGGGTACACCATAATTAAAATTTCACTAGAAATAGGAAATGGAAAAGGTTTAAGATTATTATGATTATTCGGTTATCCTCAAATGATCGAAAGAAAAATGATCGATCAAATGATCGATTAAAAGTAGAGAAAAAAAAAAAGGTTGAAACATTTTTTTTTCCTTTTGCTATTATCTTCTTTTTTTTTTTATTTTTTTATTTTTATTTTTATTCCTTTTTTTTTCTTCAGTCTATCGTTTTTTAATTCGATCAACGGACAAACAGAACTTTTTATCGCTCGATCGAAAAAAAAAAAAAAGAGAACACTTTTCCTTTTTAGATTGTTATGTTACGACATATACAATGTCGAAATAAAATCAAGAGATTTCGTTGGGTATACCGTTCTCACGAACCTCGGCGGAGATACTGAAGCCTTGAAAAGCATGTTCATTCAAAGATGCGTGCGCAATGGCATATACTACCATCGCTACTCCTCGCTTCTCTTTCTCCTTCTTCACCCTCTTTACATCTTTCAGAAAATTCTCTTTTACTAGTAAACCTCAAGTATGGGATTGGATGTGAGACCGACGGAATATATAATAAATTTCGTAGAAAATCTATTAAAATATTTTGAAAATATACAATAAACGTAGAAGAAGAAAAAGAAGAAGAAGAAGAAATATAGAAAATTATTGGTATATATCTTTTAAAGATCATTGATTTTTTATAACATTCTCGAACAATTTCTTTTTCAATCATATACTCCTCTTTCTCTCGTATCTTCTTCTTCTCCTTTTTCTATTTTTATTTTTCTTCTTCTTATTTATTCTTTCTCTCTCTCTCCCTCTCTTTCTCTCCCTCTCTTTCTCTCCCTCTCTTTCTCTCCCTCTCCATAAAAAACTTTAGTTGTGATCGCGCAACATTAGCAAACAGTACGATTTTCGAAATACCTTTATACCGGCATAAGAATGTCTGAGAATGAGTTTCCATACTCTTAAGAAAAGGGGTGAATACCGGTAGAGTTATATTATACCTATTACCTATAAAAAAAAAAAGGGATATCTTCGTGTTTTTCCTCCTATATTATAAAATTTTATGCCGATTTTAAATAACTGATATTTGATGTTAATATTGCATTAAGGAAATAGTGTACATTGGAAGTTCGTGAGGTATTTTTAACTTTTAGATAGACTTTCAAAGATAAATTGTTGAATTTTTTAAAGCCTGCTAGAATCGACAATAAACAGGATTGTAAAAAGGTTAAAAGGATAGAAAAACGTAGGTCATGCTTTTAAAGGAAAACGCAAGGGCGCATAAATGTTGGATAAATCTATGGACGTATGCACGTAAGCTCGCAAAACATGCGAACAGAAATGAATGCAATATAAAGTTTGAATGAGAGAGATTAAATTCTATTGATTAGTTCAATTCGTATTTTACTTTTTTTCTTTTATCTATCTTTTTCTTTTCTTCTTCTTCTTCTTCTTTTCTTTTTATTCTTTATTTACCGTTTTCCAATACTTTCCATTACAGATATAAATATTTTAAAGTAATCTTTCAATTCTATCTTATAGATCCAAATCTTTTACCTATACGTTGTTTATTTAAATATAAAACATGCCCATTTGTATTCAGGGAACTTTGATAAGCTATCGGAAATTGAATAAATTCATTCAGAAAAATGGGAATGAAAAAGTAAAGCCATTGAATTTCCCACATTTTACTCGACCAATCAGAAATTGTCGTCGTGTTAGCGGATACAACTAGATGTCTCTAGTTTCGTCTCGAAGGCGAAGTCGCTTGTTGCTTGTTGCACAGTGATATTATAAGATTTACGTGAATTATTATTTATCAAAATGAAAGTTAAAAATAAAACAAACACTTTAAGAGATAAAGCACTTAAGAAAGCTGTGAAGAATAAAACAAAAGCCACAAGAAATTCAGGAGAATCGACCCTACGGAAAGCTGTGAAAAATGTCAAAGAAGTATTTGAGGTTAGGTGTCACGTGTTTATACAGAATTATGTTTTCAAATAATTTCTTTAATATAAATTGTAAATATATTCATAATTTTACGTACTGTTATAGAAGAAACAGATTGAAGATAGATCAAAGAAAGATAAACTGAAAGAATCTTTCACTGTGAAAGCTGCGAAAAAGAAATGGGAATTTAAGTCGAGTAGGGGACTTATATATCTTGGTCATATACCGCATGGATTCTTTGAGGATCAAATGAAAGATTATTTTTCACAATTTGGTAGAGTTACCAAAGTTAGGCTTGTAAGATCTAACAAGGTACGGATTTTTTATACATATCTTTTACATTCCTTTTATTATCATGATGATATATATATATATATATATATATATATATATATATATTTTAAGCAATTATGTCAATTATGTTCTTTCTAATTCATTGTAGACTGGAATTAGTCGAGGTTATGGTTACGTCGAATTTCAATATCCTGATGTTGCTAAGATAGCAGCCGAAACGATGAATAATTATTTAATGTGCGGTAGATTATTGAAAGGTATTATATTCAGTATTATATTGATTTAAAACAAATTAAACTTTAAGATTATTATATTTTATATGACAATTTGTAGCCACGTACATACCACCAGAGAAACAGCACATAGGATTCTTCGTTGGAAAAAGTTGGACGAAGAAGAGGTATCCAAAAGTAATAAATAGAAGAAAGATAACGGTTATTAGAAATTCTATTATAAGTGACGATAAGCATAAGCTATATACAAAAAAGAGTTTAAGAAATTTGACAAAATTGGAGGAGAAATTAAAAGAGAATGGTATTAATTTGAAATTCAATTCGATCGTTCTTCCTGACGAGCAAGCGAAAGAAACGAAATAAAATAAATATTCTAACTCGTTAATGTGATTTTTATTAAGCGTTTTTTCTTTTTTTCTTTTTTCTTTTTTTTTTTGTTCCACCAGTGGAACAAGTTGATAATTAAAATATTTAAATTGCGTCAATGAACGATTTGTTCTAAATAATGTACAAATTTTGAAAGGATTTTACATAGCATAGTACGAGTAAATAATTAATATTAACTATTATGTACATATGTTTATGTTTATGTTCGAATATCAAGTGTATTAAGATACAGCATTTCGTTCTCGTAGATTGGCTGTATTTCCTTTAGTTCTCTTCCACTTCATGCGTCTATTTTGAAACCATACTTTGACCTATAAAAATAGACAGAGTTGTATCAGTAAATTTTTTTTTGCTTTTTTTTTTTGTTGTTTTTTTTTTTATGTTAGCATATGAAACATCTCAAAAGAAATATTCATTATCGAGTATAATTCTTACTTGACGTTCGGTTAAATCCAACGCAACAGCGATCTCGTATCGGCGCAAACGCGTCAGATAATTGCTGTGCGCAAATTCGCATTCCAAATGACGGACCTGTTGCTTCGTGAAGGCAGTCCTTTCTTTACGCGGTTTATCGACTGTATTGTTATTTAATTTTCTTATCTTTTCTACGATAAAAAAAAAAAATTAATAAACAGATCAATAATCGAAGTAACATTTGTCAGATTATATTTATTGCACAATGTGAAATATGTTGAATTTAGAGATTAACTTTATTAGTATACGATATAAAAGGAAGAATCATACTTGCTTGCTTGCTTGCCGATCCGAAAAAAAAAAGAGATAAAGAAAAAGGATGTAAGGAAGAAGAAACAGAAGTATATCGCAAGGATGGATTGAAAATTCTATCATATAATATTTTAATAAACTTGACTGTAATATTAAAAAATACAAGGTTTTTTTTTCTTGCAAAAAAAAGAATGTGTGTATATATATATATATATATATATATATATATATATATATATATATACACTAAGATTTATATATATATATAAATCTGAATGGTCAAGTAGGATCGAGTCATTCCTTAAAGCGAGCGATTTTCTTGCCACTTCGCGGAACTACAAGAGAATTTCACCGCGGGCCGACCTTTTTGTCGTCTTATGCCGCGTGATGATGAAAATAGCCGCATATTCGATGCGTCATTGCACGAGTAGTGCGCCGTGCCGACTGATAAACCCTTGTGCGATGTTGATGCCGCTTCTAAAACGTGAAAGTTAATTGAATCGCGTCGGAGTCTAGAGAAATATCTAAATCGCCGCTTAGAATTCCGGTGTGTTAGCATGACGAAGGATCTTTAGATCTTTTTTTTCTTCATCTTTTTTCTTATCCTCCTTTTTGTCTCTATGCCCGACTACTTTAATTATCGTCTGACGTAAATCGTTGAAATTCGTTGATGACGAGTACGAGAACGATAACTTTTGAAAGTCAACGAAACGCGTAATTCAATTTCTAAAAGACAATGAAAATATATCAAATTTACGATCATTCTTTCAATAACATTTATGATTAATTACGTCATTGATAAGACCAAACGATATATATTTAGGTCGACATTGTCAAGC